TGCACATGAGGGTTAGAAAAGCCAACAATCTCATTTAAGATATTTTTAGTGATGTCACCTTAAATGCAAAAGAAAAGAGAAAGGAGCTATTTAGTCATATATGTTTTGAATCATGCTTAAAAATATGATATAGAAATAAAAAAATAAAACAAAAACATGAAAAATACCTTTAAATAGATCAAACTTAATTTAACCTTGGCCTTTGTATTACCTAAGATTATTAAACTTTTGCTACATTGGCCATATGCCAGGACAATACATAGTATAAATACATCATATTGACTGGTTTGAGCATATTTATTCCCAAAAGTATATTTAATGTACATACAAATAAACAAAAAACAAAATGTTTAAACCTTAAAATTACCTTGACCTTTAGGGTCAAATTATTTAAGTTTGCATTTGCTTTATCTTATTTGTTAATTATTTGATTTATTGTATTCATTTTTTGGCATAATTACCTTTTTGGCATAATACCTTTTTGTAATTATCTTTAAGTAGGTCAAATGGAACTTTACTCAAATTTGACATTGAACTTCAAATGACCTTTATATTAAAGGCCAAATAATTGGCCATAACTTAGGTATTATTGCATTCATTATTGGGCATATCACATAACATCTTCAAGAAGGTCGCACTGAACTCTACCTTTACCGTTAAATAACATTGACTTCTATGATAAAATAATAGACTTTTTTGAAATTCAACTTTTTTATTTGATGGATTTTATCAATACTGGACAATTCTGCATGGCTAGTCACCACCTGAGATATATAAAATGAAATTTAGCATTTCAGTTTTGACCTTGACCTTTGAATAACGTTGACCTTTTAAAAAAATTAAATGTTCATAAAATACTCTATACCTTTGGTATTAATGAATTAATGAATTTGATTCTTATTTAGACATAGCTACACTTTTAGTTTGGACAAAACGTTCATGTGATATAAATTAAATATGAACTTGACATTTAATTGTCCTTGACCCTCTAGGACAAGCAAAAATTCATTTGAATTCTGTAGAATGTATTAATGCAGAGGAACAAACTGTCATATTAATTTATTCAAATATGACGTTCACCTTTGGCAGATCTTCACTTTGAAAGGTCTCATTCAATTTCCTTGCTTTTGATGATAAGATAAAGTTAGAATTTGGCCCAAGTTTGTGGTGGTTCTTGTTTAAGGAATACAGCTGTTTGCTGGAGATATTCGTCAAATTCAGTGATAGTTCTAGTTGATACAGTAGTAAATATACAGGTGCTCACAAACTGTTTTTGTGTATTGCTCTAGAGTATCACCAAACATAATGCTTCAAATTCCCTTCGTTTGCACATCATCACTCACTACAAAAAACTGGCATCTAGCTGCAAAGCAAACAATTTTTCTCTTGTTTTAACTAATAATTTCTTTCATGAATAAAACGTTGTAAATTTAATGTATATTATAGCACCTACAAAAAGAATGCCACATACTGTGCCAATACATCTTTAACAGATAGTGACCCATGCTGGTCAAATAGCTCTCTCACCAGAATGTCCATGTACAGAATTTGTGTGGTAAGTTTTAAAATATACATGTACATCACAAAAATAGAGAGAAACAGAATCCTTAAAGAAGGTCCAACACAACACAATTGAAAATGTTGCAGGCTCGGTTTGATCGAGCCTGTTCATGGACGGTATTGGAAAGTGCAAGTTACCGTCCACGCCCCCTAGCACCGGCTTAAGCAGAATTCAACATTTAACACGAACATGGTGAAATTTTGAATTTAGAAACATCCGCAGATGTGTTCATACGGCGGTTATCATGGAACCTTCAATGTGACACAGTAGTGCCATTCCATGAAAAGCGGCGTATGGTCCCCAAGTAAAAGAATGCTTTTGCCCTAAACGAGAAAACAATGGGCGGAACTAAATAAAATAAATAAACAAAATACAGTGAAACCTGTCTTATTAAACTCATAAAAGGACAAATTCTTGAGTTAGATATATGAAATGTCAACAAAATTCATTGAAATACTATAGTATAACTTTGTCATATTTTACGATTTAACTTGCTATTTTACATTTATTGTGAGGGACTTTCAAATAACTTTATTGTAACTTTGAAACTAGAGCTGTATTGGTTATTTATTCTTAATTCTGCCCTTGAAAGATTTATATAACTTTAGAATCTTTTTCTTTCAGGCAGGATTTTTCTTATCGTTAGGTGGTTTTACTTTCTTTAATGTTCAGAAGACAAAGTATATACAGTTGTTCACCACAGCATCTAGGTGGATAGGTAAGGTGTATTTAGTTATATCAGTTGCTAGCAGAACATGTTATATAGGTCTCGTTCAGGCACTATCCAATGGTGGCTAATTTGGTACACTTTGTTCATTTCGTTTTCGATAGTGACAACACAACCTATGTCATTATCGCCTTTTTCGCTTGTCATCCTGTCGCTAGTGAAGCATGCCAAACGGCGTGTTGTTGTTCGGCACGATGTCACCCTGTCGCTTGGCTTATGTATATACAAATAGGCAATCCTGCGATTTGAACAGAGGGACAATGTGAGATAGCAACAATGCGCTGTTTGATGTGCTTTCTTTCTCAGCGACAGAACGACAGTCTAACAATGCACCGTTTGGGGCTTTGTCGTGCTGTCACTAACGACAACACAATGCACAAAAATGTTCCAAATCAGCCACCATAATATCCTTATGATATCCTGTCAGAACATTTCATAATGAATTTATGATATTGAAAGTTTTTATAAATAATTTTAAAATATTGACAATTGCTCTTTAAATTCTAAATTGGTGCCTCACAAATCACTGTATTATTTGCGTGTTTACATGGTATTCACACAAACTCAAGAAATATATCAGTTTGAAGAGAAATCAACTGGCTACTTTCTTCTATATCAATATAGATGATTTCCTTTTCAAAAACTATTTAATTTGTTGGAATGTTATCATTCTAACTTTCTTATTTTAACATGAAGTCATAGCAACTTCTTGTAATTAAGTTTGTTGGTATGTCATTGTAAATGTATATATTCCCAAAGCAAAGCAAAAACAAACCTAAGGTTGTAATCTATGTATGACTTAAAAGACAAACAGTCTTCATAATAATTTTGACAAGTCACTATTATCACAAATAAAATATATGTAGATTTAATCATTGAAATTGAATTATTTGTATTTGACATTGAAGATGTTGATGTGATATTTCTCTATATAATATATTTCAGCGTTCGGGATGATGATTGTACTAGCTGTAATAAAGTTAGAGAAGAAAAGCGGTCAAGGTCATCCACCATATGCTGATATATCAGGAGTTCCCAACCTGTTTGGTGTTTGTGTGTATTCATTCATGTGCCACCATTCACTCCCATCTCTAATAACCCCGATAAGAAACAAATCAAAACTATACAATCTACTTGCATATGATTATATTTTGATTTTACTCTTTTATTTATTGTTGTCTTTCACTGGAATTTATACTTTCAAAGACCTAAATGATATTTACACATTGAACTTTTTGCCTGACGGTTGTAATACAAACTCTGTAACAAATGTTAAGTTTATTCAATATTTTCTAGCGTTATTTCCAGTGTTTACTTTAAGTTCAAACTTCCCCATCATATCTATTACACTTCGCAATAACTTGAAAGCAATTGGTTATAAAGTGGACAGGCCATATACTTGGTGTGTGGACAGAATTGTCTTCCCTTTATTGGCACTGATTCCCCCACTAGGTGTTTCCCTGGCAACCAATCAGGTTGAGTTCCTGGTAGGTATTACTGGTTCCTATGCTGGTGCCGGGATACAGTATGTTATTCCCGCAATGTTAGTGTTCTGTGCCAGGAAACAGACAATATTGTTCTCAGATAGGAACATACATGAATCACCTTTCAAGGGAAAGTTCTGGATTATATTTGTATGTATATGGGCAGGAGTATGTATGATATTTGTCACTGTGAATCACATAATTAGTGGATAATCTTGAAAGGTTGATTATTATTTTACTGTGATAGAATTACAAATTGACAGCAATATTCTATATTTTATACTATACTTCTGTTTCCGTTTAAAGCTTTTTCTATTCTTTGAAAGATCAGATGTTTTTAATGAACCTCAGTCGTTTTATTTCTGTGTTTTTTTTTTCTATCTTTTTCCTTCTTATTTTTGTTAAACATTGCACAATTGTGTGTATTCATGTAATTTGTGGCCTTTTATCAAATAGTGTATATTTTTTCTCTTGTTTAGATTGTATTGTTTTTACTTTGATTTAATTTTTGTACAATATAATTTTTTAATGATTTAACTGCATTGTGATACCATTTTTTAATATTAAATAAGTGCAATTTGTTTTAGTTGGAATCAAAATAATTTATATTTCTTACATATTTAAAATGCATACTTTTTTAAATTTGAAAAGGTTGTAAGTTTTTAAAGTCCCATATTTACATAGAATCAGGTTAGATTTATTTCATATTAATAGGAACTTATTAAATAACTTTTCATTTTGCAATATTCCATGAAAATAAAACAAAGTAAAAGAGAAGTTTCTTCAAAGTCTATGATATTCTTAGTTTGTTTTATACATTTGATTGTGTTAGAAAGGGAAAGATAAGTCATATTCTCTTTGTTTATATTTTTTGTCAAAAGTTATTTCCCTTAGACCTTATCCATTTTCAAAGTTGTATGTTTTATTCATGTAATATATATGTTTAATTACCATTATGTTGTAAGCCATTGTTTCTTAAGTAAAATGAACAAAACCATGAGTAAATGTGATCGACTAAATACAAAAAAATGTTAACATTACTATTTATTCACGTTATTTTGCTTATATAAAATGTATGTCAATAGCTTAAAACCAAGTTTTATGTTATTAAAGTTTTTAAACGATTTTCTCAGTATGATTTAAGAAATATGTTAAAGATTTTGTACCTTTTGTAGGTTGTTAGTGCCAAACGAAATACTAAACTTTACTTTTCTAAAGCCTGTTAGTCATAATCAGAATTGATTGTTAAGCAGTATCATGTAGATGTTTCTAACTTATACATATTAAAAAAATCAAAACATGACGGTGTGATTATAATGGTTGCTATGACATTTGATAGAATAGATGCATTAATAGATTAAATTTTTACTGACTGTATCTATGTAGTTTATACTTGAAGCTATCAACCGTCTCACACTTAGACAGGTGTTGTATGACAAAATGGTTGTGGTCATTGCTGGACTCAGGTCAATCATTTCTCTGTCTCTGTATCATTCTTTATATCCATCACCCACCATTTTCGATTTACACCAAACGGAAGTGAATGTTACATTTAAAATGTATTTATAGCATAAAACAAATGTTTGATGTTCATACTCATTTACTGAAAACATGACCTGTTGTATAAATCATATGTTCTTTTACTGCAAGTGACTATCATTTTGCTGATTTTTATTTTTTTTTATTTGCACATGTCATGATTTTTTTTCTCGAAAAAATGAAATGTTTGAAAGGTTGCAGGTTCAACTATTATTCCTAATGATATATTTAGTTTAACATTAATTTATGTTTTCTGTTGAGATATAGAATTTAAACATTATTTGAATAATGATGCTTGATGAAGATTATTATATTACTTGAAACTAGTAGCAAATAAAATCATTGAACTCTACCTGGTGTTGTATGTGTGTTCATCAACAGTTTATATTATTAGCTTTAAAGATTTTGACAGGTTATATGGCCCTATATAAACAGTTGTTTGGAAATATAACCCGAGCTCCTAGGTGAGGGTTATATCGCAAACAACCGTTTATATAAGGTCATATAACCTGTCAGTAATATTTATAACAAATTTATAATACAGCAAGCATCATTTTTTTAGAGAAAAAGTAATATTTCTTCATAAATCGACAGCAGCCGTGTATATAAAACTAATAATGTAAACGTCACAATTATCCAATGAAAAGCAACGTTACAGACGTGCAATATTATAATACTGTTTTATTATTTGAATAAATATTGTTGTCATTCTGATTCTAGTGATTATAAAAGGGTTGATCAAGAAATAAGACTTGCCACTTTGTTATCGGTAAAATAATGATGATGAGCAGAATAACTTTTAAAAAATAAACATGCTACATTTGTATTTTATATAATTATTATATTTGTCATTATTTGACATCTCATGGGTAATGTGCTCGTGAAAAATTTAAATGTCTTAAAATATAAATGTCAATATTTATTTATTTTCAACAGTTAGATTGATCAGATACATTCAAATGTTTTGTTGTCATGTAAAAGTGAGTGTAACTAAGAGTATGTATATTGATATAGATGTTAATATGAGTGAACATACATCAGATAGAGGAACACTGTTGTGTACATGTTCTTTAAGATACTGAATGCTATGTAAATTGAATAAACAATTGAAAGTAAGTTAAAACCATTACAAAATTTGTTGCTAGTACAGTAACAAAACAAGAAACTGAAAAGAAATTGTGATATTTTGTGTAAAATATGATCATCATTCCAAATGAAAAGAAAATAAAGAATAAAGTTAGATGTTATGTTCTTTGTTTTTTATTTTTTAATTTTATAAACAATTTTCATTTCGGTAAACTTTTGGGAGTTGCAGTTTAAAGATATGAGAACATTTTGAAATAAAGATGATCAAATTATGGAATAAACACGAATCTTGCAGCTAAATTCGGATTTTCAAGAATTATTTGGACCTCGTGTACAATCAAGCATATTATTTCCCTATATCATGATCATGGCTATGAAAGTTCATTAACATGACTTTTTAAAGTCCAACTTTTACTGAGCATTCGGAATCGATGATGATAAAAGTTGGCAAATTGACAAGCTGCAGACGACAAGTAAATACCACAATGTCGGCAAGCTTTATATGTCGACATTGACATATCAATAAATGATAAGGTAGGGTCTGTCTGACTGCAGGAAAAGTTCATGCAACTCTGTCCCTCTAGTAAATCACACACAATCTTGCTTCTGCTTATTTGATCTGGTCATTAGCGGGAATGATTAATCTTATACTTACAAGTCATTTTGACCGTTTATCTGTAACGACAGTTCATATTCCAATTTATTTCTATATCTATCGTCATTTTTATGCCAGACCAACCGGTTTTATAGTCAATTATCTGACCGAAATATGCCCTTCAAAGCGTTCAATGACTTTTTGACCTATTATCTATAACGACATTTCTTATAACAATTTAGTAATCATTTTATGAAATCAGTGTCTCATATAATACTAGCACTGTATATAGGGTCCATAAATCAAATAAAATTTCTCGCAGACGATACATGTATCAAACTTTTGTTTTGAGAAATGTTCCTATCGAAGTTTCTGATTTCTATAGAATAATACGGATGAACACTAATATCTTCTTAATATGCAAAAAATGATTAGAGTGTTAGTTTGTTCATACATCTGCCGGAAAAAAAAACAACAACAAAAAACGTTAAATATATCCAATAGAAATATCCCTTACACCATTTTAATTTATAATGCACAAGTCAATTTAAATCTTCTGAATAAATGTCAAATGATAGTTAGAAGAATGATTCACTGCTTTAATATAGGTGCGCTATATTCAATTCTAATATGTGTCAAGACGTTATTACACAAGGCGCCATATCAACAAAGAAGACCGGACAGAATATAAGCAGACGTTGAATGTCTTTTAACAGAATCTTTCACTGTCTCAAATGGTGCATTTATTTTGTTGTTCTACATTTTGTATTATAATTTAGGAGATACAAATTGTACAAATAGATCTAACAAACATTTCGTATCTCAAATGAATCATATTATTAGGAAACGGTATTTTAATTGAAAAATACAAACTTCTGAATACGCTCACTGAAGCACATATTGCGGTTGTTGTATACGAATAACTTTTTTAAAATGTTAAGGATGGCAAAAATAAATTATTTGTTTTTTTGGAGCTGTTCATCTGAAACATTTCGCACAATACATGTAACTTTTACTCTCTCTGCATTATGACTTAGTCGGTACCAACTTTCTTTCATGCAGGATAATGACAGGCATATCTATGCAAATTCTATCTATATTACATACCATTAAATGTCTGCTGGCAAATTTGATTCAGAGAAAAAGTACTAAAAAAGTACTTAATTCTTAAGATATATCTATAATAGGGCGGCATACAGTCATAAAACATTCTAATATCATAAACAGTGTAACATTCATCAAAGTATAGCCATATTCTTTTGTGCACAATTCCAGGCGAATGACCTCGTCACATTTTATCAATCTTGGGGATGAACAAACAAGTCCGAAGATGTTAGCCGACTGCATTTTTAACAAATGTCTTAATGTCATTTGGTATACCAAATAAATACCCGGAGATTGTTTTATTGGTGAAAAAATAATTAACAAACAGATATTGAATTATGTTTATCCTAACAGTATATTCTTCCATCCGTTTTGATAACAGCATGAATGGAAATAATTCTAGTTATGTCAATGTGATCACTGTTACAAGAAGGATTGACCTTTATATTAACTGTCATCTGCATATCTATGAATAATCTATTCTAACCAAGGAATTAAAAAAATATATTAAAGTTCAACGCAGTCCCCGACAAAATTCAGTCTCACATGACCAGTGGCAAAGGAAATTAATTGGAAATGGAGGGAAAATGATCATAACCAGTTCTGTACAGAATTTCTGATTTTGTGACTCCGAGGCGCCTTTACCAGTACGATATACGATGTAATGAAAATAATGAACTGTCATTTTCACTCAAACATTTCATGTTTGCTTTTTAGTTAATGTTATACGAGTTATATTTATGGAAAACATACCAATTAACAAATAACTGTTGTATGCAAACCTGTTTCATGATATAGCAGTACTATGCTGTTATGAAATATTTTCCTTTTCAATTTGTAAACTTTGGGTTTCATGATGATATAACTTTTATTCAATAGATATTAGAAATGATAAGCATTAATCGTAACACTTTTTAAATGATATTTTAACGTCCAAATTCTTTTCATGAGAGTACATATATATAAAACGTGGCAAAACTATGAAAATAGTTTCCTTGGCGATACGAATAGAAAGAAACATTTAACTGTTTAATATACAATTATATAATATTTATGTAATGCAGCACAAGAACTGGTGTTGTATTTTCACTTACTTGTTTTTGCATGTGGCACTTATTAGCTTATTTTTCTTATCCTAGTTTACAGTTTAGAACTACAGGACAGCTTTGACTGCAATTATTTAAGTCAGATAACTCACAGATAAGGAGATTTCAAATAAGCTATTTAAAATGCCGTTATTCATCTTGTATAATAAATTAATTTTATATTTTCTCATCCTTTATTTCTGACAAGTATTTACCGGGGAAACGTCATGGTATATTTGAAGGATAGTTAAATAAGTTGCTCTGTTTCCAGTAAATGAATGGAGCATTTTTCAAACTCACATTATTCTCCATTTCTTCTGGCATCCCTGTTAATCATTGTAATGAATATTTACTTTCCTATCTAAATCAATGTGTGTTTGACATAACCTGACATTGTGCAATAGTTTATTAATGCAAATGGTTACCTTGACACAGAAGCTTATTCTGATTCAGTAAAACATTACTATTCTGTAATTTATTTTATTTAGTTGTTCAAATGTCATTAAATATTCCATTTTATTCCAAAACTCTTTAAATGAATCTAAATTTTTAGAAAAAAAAGAAGAATAACAATCTAGAATGGTATGTGCAATATTGCAAGAACAACGTTTGAGGGCTACAACTTCAAAATATAACTTACTAGAGTTCCGAATACTCCACATTATAAGTGTTTGAGAATGACAACGATCTAGGATGACATGCGAAATGTTCCAGGAACAACGTTTAAAAATCATACTTTAAAAGTAGGATGTTTTTTATATACACTGTATACTGCGCACACTGTCTTAAGTAGATATGCATATTAACGTGTATAGGCACTTGTTAATTATGCTTGATGTGTATATAAAATTGTATACATTGTAATTATATTCTATGTATTAAATAACGGAAACGTTGACATTCTCAAAACGTACTCTATTGCGCAAAGGTCATGTTTACAGAAATTGATTCATCAATTCTTTCATCTCTCCCATAAAAGATTAAAAATTAAACTCAGCAAATATAGAAAACAGAGCATCTACCTTCCAGAAACGAAAGTTCAAACAAAACTGAACTTAAACATAAAGATTTACAAAAAAACAAAAGTAATAAAAACATATATAGAATTACTCATATAAATCACCCTGGCTTGTTTACAATTATTGAACTTGACAGGTGTCAAATATTTTTATAAAAGAAAAATGAGAAAATGTGCAGACGAACTTGTTATCTATGCTACAGTAAATCTGTAATTTCTTAACAATAACAGATGCATTTAACTTTAAAGCTATAATACAAACACTCAGACATTGAGGAAACTACTTGGAATCGTTTGTAACGAAATCAAGTCTTTAGCATTAAAATAACAGGACGTGCACACAAAACGGTACCCATTTGATAATAAACAAAGGTATGATAGTTTAATTTAATTAACATAATAGATTGAATTTAATAGCGCTGCAAATTTACTTTTGTCTTTTATTCAATATTGTGTATCTGTAATAGCACATATATTGCATGTGAAAACTTGTAGTCCCAAAATATTCATGTTAACGATATGAAAAATAACGATGAGGTGCTTTACTTTAATTTCATCATTACAATTTTAATATATTATTGTGGCGTTATCATTTGTTTACTCATATGAAGACAAATATATATTTATCTAAATTTCTTTTTCAACTTATGTGATCGTATGTAATAGATGTGATGAACGATTATAGGGACAAGCACACCACAAATACATATTAATATATTATGCTTAAGTCACAAGCAGCTTTGTCATTTTGTCAGATATAAGACATCTTAGTTCAACTTTCTCCTGTGTTAAGTTGGCAGGTTTTTCAATGTTTAATGTTTTCTGAATCCTCTATACATTCTTTATCAAGATTGAAAAGAAATTATTTACAGAATTAATACAAGAAAAGCTTATAAATGCTAGCATTATTTTAGAAATGTTTCATATTATTGTTGTTTAGGATGTAAAGAAATAAAGTTGAGGAACACACTAGCATCAGTATTGACCAAAACAACACAATGAAGTCAACAAAGATTTTTGTAACCAATGTTGATAACGCGTTGTCAATGCCCCAATGTTAACCTGCAACAACATATTGAAGTTAACAACATTGAAACTGTTTTATTTTTTCTTTCTTTTAATCTAGAACTGTGTTATTATTGTTAACATTTTTGTCTAAAAACACGAACAAAAACTATTTGCAAGAAAAGAAGTCACATTACATGTATTTCGAAAGAAAACCATTATTTACACAACACTTTAACCTATTCTGCTTGGAAACGAATTAATATTCCCCTACGTTAACCTGCAATAACGTATTGAAGTTAACAACATTGAAATTGTTTTATTGTTTCTTTCTTTTAATCTAGAACTG